TAATGCACTCATGATGTTGGTTTTGCAGAGCATTGCATGCATGCATCCTGGGTGTATTGTGCACATGTAATGCATTTTGGATGGTAGAGGCATCAAAACGTAAAAGCTGTTTGGAAAATAAAAAAACAGGATGACAATGTAATATAAAGTCCTATAAATATTATGGGGCAGATCTCCATATGCTTATCGTGTGTTGCTCTTTGTGCTTTCAGCTGCAGTATAAACCTTACTGGATGTACCAGCCCTTACTGAACAAAGAAGCCGATTCCCAGGAGGAAAGACTTACATGTGAATGGCCGCCAGCAGATCCCTCTGGTGCTGTCGTATTTTGGTGCTGTCCCGTTGCTTAGTGTGTTTGTGGAGCAGCCAGGCCTCTCCGAGCACATTCGCCGCCGCAGATTTAATCTACAAAAACAGGAGCGTTCACATCAGCTTACAGGGGTTATCCAGCTTTAGAGGACCTTTAAATTGGCCGACACCAATTATATATTTTTTTGCACGTTGAGTGTGTACATGCTGAGTGATGTGTCAGTGTAACACAGCCAGCTATGTATTACCTTCATTTGATTTTCTTACAGAAGGACAGCCACCATCTTTGTTCAGGTATCATGCAGGGTCACCATCTACTTCCTGGACTGAGATGCCGGCTCAGACATAATGTGGCATCACCACCCCTCGTTCCGATCAGAGAAAGCCTTATATTCATTCATACAAATATTAGGCATTCGCTAAATGACCACTGTGCCGAGTGAGTGACCACTGTGCCGAGTGAGTGACCACTGTGCCAAGTGAGTGACCACTGTGCCAAGTGAGTGACCACTGTGCAGAGTGGGTGGACCCCCCCTGTGTTTTCACAGCAAAGGGAAAGTCGCTCAGCAAAGCATAGTACAAGGACCCAGAAGATCTCTGTTAAACACTGGAGTATCTGCTGCTACTACAGTGTATTACAGGATGCCCGTGGCCACTCCCTGGGGTAATTTATATACATATTTACATTGGGCCAAGCTGGAACAATGTTAGTATTCATAAATGTTTATAGCTGGAGTCCAGCTTTTAGTGTTTAACAGATGTTGCAGAATTAAACCACCCGATGAGCGCTACGTTCCTGGGTCTGCACACCTGCTGCATCCATTATGAGGAGTTCCCACCATCACTGCACTGAGTTCTTTGGCCCATTACGAATTTTTCCCACCATCACTGTGCTGAGTTCTCAGGTCCGTATCCCTGCTGTGCCCTCTTATGAGGGGTTCCCACGATCCTTGCACCTTCCTGGGTCTATACACCTGTTGTGGCCAATATGAAGGGTTCCTGCCATCCATGTGCTGAGTTCCCGGGTCTATACACCTTATGTGGCCAATATGAGGGATTACCGCCATCCCTGTACTGGGTTCTTGGGTCTGTACAGCTGCTTTGCCCATTATGGGGGGGGGGTTGTTTTCCCACCATCCCTGCGACGCGTTATGGGTCTGCACACCTGCTGTGCCTGTTATGAGGAGTTCCCACTGTGCCTAAGATGAGTTCCTGGGTCTGCAGACCTGCTGTGCCCGTTATAACGAGTTCCCACCATCCCTGTGATGAGTTTCTTGGTCTGCACAACTGTTGTGCCCATTTTTAGGGGATTCCCACCATCGCTGTGCTGAGTGACTGGGTCTGTACACCTGCTGTGCCCATTATGAGGTGCTCCCACCATCCTTGTGCTGAGTTCCTGGGTCTGTACACCTGCTGTGGCCATAATGAGGGGTTCCAACCATCCCTGCACTGACCTCCTGTAGTGAGATGGGTCTGTACACCTGTTGTGGCCATAATGAGGGGTTCCAACCATCCCTGCACTGACTTCCTGTACTGAGATGGGTCTGTACACCTGTTGTGCCCATTATGTGGGGTTCCCACCATCTCTAAAACAGACAGTCAGGAACACCTGATACTCCCCGGTGAACAGGAAAGAGTTGGGAAGGGAGATCTCACTGTTAGAACAACCAAAGCCAGGGACTGACCCACCAGACTCCAGTTGTGTCTAAAATATCACTTTTCGGTGGGCTGGTCCTTAAACATTCCATATTTCTACAAATTTTAATGCAAAATTAATATTTCTTGACTTTAAATTTAAACCAAATCATTTTTGTTCTGATAGGATGTGAAACGTTTTTTTCCCCCCAGTTCTTATTACTGTCTGTATCTAAGTTGGGTAGACTTCCCTACACTCATTGTTTGATCACACAGGAAGTGAGAGGAATCACCCCGAGGGGTTACAGTCAGAACAAAAAAATCTGATGGAAGAATTCCGTCAGACTCTGGAGTTCTGCTTTCATGATCAATTCTTGCAAGTCTGTGGGTAGATTATAAACACGCAGTACATGTGAAGAATTCCGAATGTTTTGTATTCTGAGGAACAAGGAACAGAAGCAATGCAAAAAAAAAAAGAAATGCAGTCCTATAATAAAGCCCAAATGAACTTCCAGTTTAAATTGTCTTATGTCTCGTTCACACCTAGGCGTATTGCATATGCGCGTCTGTCGCGCGACCGTCGCGCGTTTCCGAAGGCTACTTGGCTGTATCCCAATGGAAACGCGCAACAAAACGGCCCAAAGTAGTACCTGTACCTTTTCAGGCGTGGGCCGTTTTGTAGCGCGTTAGGGACGGGCGGAAATACGCCAAGGTGGGAACGAGACCATTGAATACAATGAGATTTATATTTTTGAGCGTTTTGTAGAGCGTTCGTCGAGCGTAGAATGCGCTACAAAACGTTCAGGTGTGAACGAGGGCTAAGACATTTCCGGAGCATTGAAACAAAAGGTGTGCAAAGTCTAACAGCAAGTTTATATAGAAAGCAGCTATAGACTGAATAGAAAGGCATGCCCCCTGCCAGCATGCTGCATAGGAGGACGCTTGCTCTCTGTATGGAAGCAGTGGTCTCTCTGTAAAGGTTTGACATGCCCCCTTGCTGAGACAGACTTATAGTTCTCCAATCAGCAAAGCTCATACTGCCTGCTGATTGGAAAGATATATAGCTCTGAGGCAGCAGGGGGCAAGGCAGACATCTCAAAGAGATCACTGCTTCCACACAGAGAGCAAGGGTGTCTCCCTACAGAATGCTGGCAGGGGACAGACTTTTCTGCTCAGGCTGTGGCTACTTTTTTTGTAAGTGGGCTGTTTTACCTGCCAAAGGATTTGTATTTCTGTTTATCCAGTTTGGAGATTTTAAAAAGCTCTGCCACAAAGCACAGCCAGCCTGGTGACCCAACTCTTCTCTGCTGCAGTTAAGCAATATAGAGGGGCGTCCCGAGGCCGGGTGTTACCCTTAGCGGAGACCGGGTGACAACCCGCCGTGACGTCATTGAGCATGTGCAGCCATCTAATGACGCCTGCCGGTGGCCATGTTGGTGATGGACGCCGGCAGAGAGAGGAGGGGACGTTCACCCGGCAGGGTGAGGTATGTCGCCGGGTCCCCTCCTCTGACATGACTCACAGACATGACTCCCAGAGGCAGAAGCATTATAGGATTTATAGTTTTACCTCAGTTGAAGTGTCGAGGAAGCCTATGCAAGGGCGTCCGGAGGCCAGGTGTCACCTGGAATACCGGATGACACCCCCCTGTGACATCATCGCGCATGGGTGGCCATCTTATTGATAGAGAGGAGGGGACATTCACCTGGCGGGATAAGGTATGCCGCCAGGTCCCTTCCTCTCTCCTGACACAGTCGGGCTCTCGGTCCATGACCGAGTGCCCGACTTTTTAGAGGGGGTGGCACCAAAATGATTGTCAGTCATTTTGGTGTCACCCCTCCAATGGTGTCACCTGAGTGCAGGCTGCACCCCCCACACCTCCTTCGTGACGCCACTGGCAATAAAGCTTGGTCACCACCCTGCCCCCAGCATGTGACTGGACAGTGAGGGAGCAGCAGCCTCCTAACTCATCACATTCTCCTCCTCCTAGCTGGGTAGAGGACAGCGTCTCTTCAATTTACGATAATAGGTGAGCTTCTGTCCCGTTAAGTGCATAGCACTTTTCATAGTATGTCTTGAGGCCTCAAGGTTTTACTGCGGCTCATTATAAGACCCCTGAAAATGACTTTCCCTGGTGGATCTGCCTTACCAGGATTCATAAAGGTCCATTTTCCTGCATGGAAATCCAAATTGCTTCCTACGAGGAAGCTGAGGTCTTGTGGCCCGTCTATAATAAGAAACCAGAGGTCAAGCCCTGATTCTCGGCCTCCCAGCATTGTGTGACTATGAAATGCACCTTGGGGATCTGTAGGAGATCTGGAGATGGATAAAAAGTCTCCACTGCCTATATTAATAGAATGGCAAGGCCGTTGCCAGGAAGCCACTGCCACGCTGGGCCCCATTCAGAAAGAACTTTCCATAACGGCTTTGTTTTCACACAATGTCACCGTACCTGGGAATTTAACTCTGGAGGTCACAACATCTAGACACATCTCAGAGATTTGTGCAGACCTTCAGTATAGTCCATGAAATAGGGTTGCCACCTGTCCGGATTCAGCAGGACAGTCCAGGTTTTGAGTCCTATAAGTGCTGTGTCCGGGATTCAGGAAACAGCACATATAGGACTCAAAAACCGGACTGTCCAGGCAGGAGCGTCCCGAGGCCGGGTGTCAGCCGGAGCGGAGACCAGGTGACACCTCACAGTGACGTCATCATGCATGCTCAGTCATCTAATTGATGCCTGCCGGTGGCCATCTTGGTGATGGACGCCGGCAGAGAGAGGATGGGACGTTCAACCCACCGGGTCTCCTCCTCTCTCCTGCCACTGTCGGGCTCTTGGTCCATGACCGAGTGCCCGACTTTTTAGAGGGGGTGACACCAAAATGACTGTCGGACATTGACTGTCGGTCACCCCGTCCAATGGTGCCACCCGGGAGCGGGCAGCACCCCCCGTACCCCCTTTCTAATGCCACTGTGTCCAGGTGAATAAGGGACAGGTGGCAACCTTACCATGAAATGGGAAGTAGGCTCTTCCTGAGTGTTTCTCTTTACTGCTAATCACCTAGGTTTAGTTAATTAACTCTTCTGGGGAGCTTGCTTAAAAGTGGATGGGTGGCCAGAAATCCTTGACCACCACTTTATAATACCCAACACCCTCTAGCCAATGACCTCATCAATAAAAAAAGAACTCTATATGGCCCAAATACTTACCTGTGTCAGCGGTCATGTGATGCAAATCTTCTTTTCTGGACGGGAGTAAGAGGGTTTTCTTTGAGTGCCCACATGGCTGCCTGATGATGTGGACACTTCCAGTTGGGTTGGGTCCTTCACAAAGTCTTGAAGACACCAGCTGAGGCATGATGGCATTATAACGATGGGTGGCATTAAAACTAGTCAACACAATAGGTCACCAGTCTTTGCTCCTTGAGGAGCCACGATGGAGGGACATGTGATGGTGTACTCAGGTGACTAAAGAAAGGGCTTTTAAAAAGTTAGTGGGGTGGGTAGGTGGACAAGTATTGCAGGACATTTTATCGGAGATGGGCTGTAAAGCTAAACAGGTAAACACACAGTTGAATACATATAAGGGAGCTGCCATACCAGTCAAAGGATGTCCAGCCAGTCTTGAGATTTATGCAGCCGAGCCAGACAGCACAGGCAGCCTGGTGACCTGACTTTTCTCTGATGCAGCTATGCAATACAGCCTGGTCAGTTCCCCGCCCCTAGCCTGTGATTGGACAGTCAAAGAGCAGCAGAACAGTACCCAGCCCTGTTTATTGCATTAGAAGCTTGTAAAGATTCAGTTGCACATTTTTTATTTGTGATTTGTTTGCTTAGGACACAATGAGGAAAGGAGTACCTGCTTCATGTAGTGTATGTCCTTCATAAAGTTGTGTACGTGCTTTTCAGCCTTGGTGAACTCCAGTTTCTGAGCAGCTACAGCGACTATGAGAGCTGTACACCCGACTCCCTGGAACAAAAATAAAAAGGCACAGTGAGTCATCCCATAGGCAAGGGCTGGCCTGCCGTTAGAAGATGGCAGGGCAGGTTTTGTTTTTAAAAGCCAACCCCACCCATAGGTGGTATTTTAGTTTCGTGTGGTTGGTGTCAAGTTGATATATATCCTGTATATAATATATCTATACTTTATATATTTTACAAAATGCCAATGAATCATCACACAATGGAGCCAATACCCAAAACACTCCCTAATATCAAAGTCCAAGCTCTCGCCTATGACTAACTGGCATAGTACATACTTGGTAGGTCAATGACTCATTCTAGTGATTCCAGACATAAGATTCAGAATATGCGTGTATACACACACCATGCGGTGTTTTGAAGCATGTACTTATGAGCGTGATTATGGTAATATGCCAGGGGTGTAGTCTGCACATGCTCTCTATGGGGGTTTTGTGCCATATTCGTGCCATTCAAGGTTGTAAATCTTTGTGGTGGCACATCCATAGGCGTGTGCAGCCTATTGCATTAGGGTGTGCACTAGGGCTGGTAATGATTAAAATTTTCCTGTTCGATTAATCAAAATGTTTTAAAATCGATTAATCGATTAATTTCGATTAATTATAACGCACATGCAGATCCAACTACATTGGCCTATACACATACAGCACTGAAGTAATAAAATGAGCTAGGATCACACTAATCCAGCACGTTATTAATCTCACGTGCCCCACTCAATATGGCCGCCGCTTGAGTGGGGCAACTCAGAATAATAACGTGCTGGATTAGTGTGATCCTAGTTAATTTTATTACTTCATTGCTCTGCTGTATGTGTATAGGCCAATGCCAGGGATCCCAACCTGAAATAAGCAATTTCAGGGAGGTGTCCCTCTCATTTCAGGGAGGTGCGCTCTCCCCCCCCATCCGCGGAGGGGGGAGTTAGGGGGGCTGGGAGAGAGCACCCCCCTGAAATGATGGCAGATAGCACAGGAAGCAATAGCTTCTTTGCTATCTGCAGACTTTTTTTTTATTTTTTTTAGTATTCTGCCAGTTGCAGTTGTCAGAATAATAAAAAAAAGGCATAAGAATGCACAGCTAGATTCCTATTGGCTATTGCACTTTGCAATCGCCAATAGCAAACTAGCTAATGCACCTGCCCCCTGCTGCTTTCAATCACAAGAAGAGGACCTGATAGAAAAATTCAGGTCCCCCTCTGCTGATTGACAGCAGCAGAGGGCGGGTGCATTAGCTAGTTTGCTATTGGCTATTGCAAAGTGCAATAGCCAATAGGAATCTAGCTATGCAATCGTATGCCTTTTTTTGTCTTTTCTGACTGACGGTCAGGCCGCGGCTCCCGATGTCCGAAAAGAAAAAAAGATTGCAGGGAAAGGTTTAATCTGCTCGATTGAGCAGATTAAACCTTTCCGGTAAAAAGTGTTTCTCTACCGGGCGGCCGGGAGAGTTGTTCACCGGATCTCCGACGGAAGACCCGGAAGCCGGCGGAGAGGTGAGTACGGATCAAAAGAACTTTGATCGATCAAAAAAATTCACGATTAATCAAGGGAGGCACACAAAAGTACAAACACACACATATACTGTATATATATATTACATACATGCATACACAGACCTGAGGCAGCCCGGGTTCCCAGCTCTTCAACTGTCCCTTACATTTTCCAGTAGGGTTGCAGTAATGAAGCAGGGAGCCTGGCAAGTGGTCATGTGACCACTTTCCCGGCTTCCTGATTGCATGGGAAGCCTGGGAGGCTGCAGCTATGCTCCCTCACAGCTTCCCAGGCACTGAGAACTGTGGCTGTTATGTGAGGAATGTAAGTGGCAAGTGCTGCTGTGCTCTGTATTGCTGAGCCGGTCACAGGGAGATCTTTGTGATCTTTCCACCGGTTCAGTGACTAAAAACACCTACTGTTGTGCGTCCGGTGTTGTCCTCAGGTAGGGTTGCCACCTTTTCTTCAAGCAAAATCTGAACACTCTAGAGCTGCATGGAAATTTGTTTTGAGAATATACAGGAGAGACAATCAGGAGAAAGAGTGAGGAGAGACAGCCAGGAGAGAGAGAGAGAGAGAGGAGAGAGACAGCCAGGAGAACAAGGAGAGACAGCCAGGAGAGAGAGAGAGGAGAGACAGCCAGGAGAGAGAGAGGAGAGGCAGCCGGGAGAGAGAGGAGAGACAGCCAGGAGAGAGAGTGAGGAGAGACAGCCAGGAGAGAGAGAGAGAGAGGCGAGACAGCCAGGAGAGAGAGAGGAGAGACAGCCGGGAGAGAGAGGAGAGACAGCCAGGAGAGAGCGAAGAGCGACAGCCAGGAGAGAGAGAGAGGAGAGACAGCCAGGAGAGAGAGAGGAGAGACAGCCGGGTGAGAGAGGAGAGAAAGCCAAGAGAGTGTGCCCTTCAAGACTTATCTGCACCCTGTGTTTCAGACACCTCCTTGCTCCCCGAGTTCCAGTGTCCCGTGGCTCCTCCATGCACTCAATTTGGAACACCAGGACCCCGTGGTTGCCCCAGTCTGCCTGACATTGTCACATCTTGTGTCCAGGTTTTAGCTGGCCTGAAACCCGAGCACAGCACATACAGGACTCAAAACCCGGACTGTCCGGGTGAATCCCAGACAAGTGGCAACCCTACGCTCGGGGTGATTAAGGTGTGCCTAGTGTACCATGCACACACCTATGAGTGCATCTCTGCAGGACATGCACATTTTCTCATGTTCTATCCCTTTAAAAGCACTGCATGTACGGAAGAATACCTGTTACATAGTTGACTACTTACACAGGCAGGTCGAAAAAAAGACATTACCACTGAGTTAGTCTTCCAGAAATCCAATGAGTTCCTGACTTCCCATTTGAGACAATGCCTCTGCTGCACTGAAATCCCAACCAACATTGTCAGCCCTGCCTGACATAGGTCCTCTCCCTTTGTTTGACCCCCACCCTCGTTGGAACCAGCTTCAGCATACCTACCTTTTTCAAGTGATCTTGACCCATTGATGTCACAGGTCCTCTTTGCTCCCTTCTTCCACCTCCGGCAGTGGGTGGATTCTAAATGCTACAGATGTACAGCCCTATGTAATAAAGTGGCACTGCTCTATGCAGTAGCCCCCTGTGAGGAAGTGGGTTGTGTAATGCTGGACATCATGCAAACCAGAAGCAGCTCTGCATTGCTGGATTTGCGAGTCTGTGGGGGATCAGGTGAGTAGAATATCTGGACCTGCTTACTTATTTTTATAAGAGGCTGAAAAGGCATTTTTTTAAAATGTTTATGCCTAAGCTGGAGCTGGGATTTTATATTACCATGATGTATTTTAATAAAAGAAACAACCTTTTCCATAAATAATAATAATTATAATAATAATTTATAATTTAAAAAAAAAAAACATCTATGGTGGAGGCCAACACAGACATTTCCTCCTCTTCCACAGGGCTACCATTCTTTAGTAAGACTAGTGGCAGGAAGCTAATCCTAAAAAAACAATTGGGTATATTTAAGATCAAATGATAAGATGTTTCTAATATCAAATATTTGGTAAAGCAAAATCATCTAAACAATAACTTCACCCTCCTGGTGGTGCCCACATCTTTCCTGAATCCCTGTGCCCTTTCCAACCGCTCCTTGGTCTCACCATGACTCCGGTGAACAGGCACACCATCTTGCCACAGACGCTATGCGGCACCATGTCCCCATAGCCGATGGTCAGGAAAGTGATTGGGATGAGCCACATGGTGTCTGTCATATTACTGCTTTCAGGAGAATTTCCCCTGCCAAGAGAGAAGGAGGGTATTATTTACAATATTGTTGTAGTATAGCACTGTACATATTATGCCGTACACAAGACCATTAGATCACATAAATACATTCACATTGTTATACATTATCTACACCAGGGGTGTCAAACTCAATTTAATCGTGGGCCGCATCAACATTATGGTTGCCCTCAAAGGTATCTGTAAGACTATATAAATGTATCTAATCTTTACCATAATTGCCTCTGCATTCGATTATCACTGGTTTTAGTAATAACTTAATACCTAGATCTGAAAGTAGTAGTCTAGGAAATGGCCTGGTGGGCCGGATTTGGCCACTGGGCCTTGAGTTTGACAGTTTTTGATTATCACCCAAACTCTATATAAGTATGTGGCAGCAGAGGGCGGGTGCAGCCATCCAATTTATTGCATTTAGGTGCCCCAATTAAGGGTACTGTAAATGCTACAGCATAGGAGACTTGTTGGACAATTGTGTGCTTCCAACCTTGTTGTAACAGTTTGGTGAAGGTCCTTTTCTGTTCCAGCATGACTGTGCCCATGTATCCATAAAGACATGGTTTGATGAGTTTGGAGTGCAGGAACTCGAGTGGACTGCAAACACCCCAGAACTCAATCCTACCAAACACCTTTGGGATGAACTAGAATGTCAGATTCCATGTTTCAGTCCAAAGTAAAGCTTTTATCATTGCTATTCCGACCGAAACACTTTTTAGATGAACTGGAACACCAGTTGTGAGCCAAGTTTGTTTTTTTGGCCAACATCAGTACTTGACCTCACAAATTATTTTGTTGCTGAATGGGCAGATGTTCCCACTGACACACTACAACATCTATATGGAAAGCCCTATCAGAAAAGTGAAGGCTGTTATAGCTGTGGGAGTAGCAATACCATATTAATGCTCATGCTTTTTAATGAGATGTGCAACTAGCTCATATAGGTGTGATGGTCAAGCGTAGGGTTGCCACCTGTCCGGAATTTACCCGGACAGTCCGCTTTTTGAGTCCTGTGTCCGGGTTTCAGGCCAGCTGAGACCCGGACACAAGACACTAACTGCCAATGTGGAACTTTAAATTTCTTGACGGATGTGGCTGCCTGAGGTCCCGCTTTTGATGGGGACCTTGGCAGCCCTCCTGTGAGCCGCAGGCACCTGTAAACAGGCGCCAGCCTGCACATCTCCTCCTCCGTCTTCCTGTAACCACACTGCCTGCCTCCAGACCCCTGCTGAGACACCGCACAGCCTGCACAGCACTCCTGAAAGCCTGCATAGCCCACCTGAGACCCCTCACAGCCACCTGAGAGCCTGCATAGCCCACCTGAGAGCTCACATAGGCAACCTGAGAGTGCACATAGCCCACCTGAGAGCCCGCATAGCCCCCCTGAGAGCCTGCATAGCCCACCTGAGAGCCTGCATAGCCCACCTGAGAGCCTACAGAGTCCACCTGAGAGCCCGCACAGCCCTGGTGAGAGCCTGCACAAGCGACCTGAGACCCTGGGATATCAGGGCACCACCCCGGAACAACACAGAGTATGTAGCATCATATTACCTTGTATTGTTGTATAATGTATTCCTGGGATTTGTAATCCTCTATAGGTCTCTGGTCGGTCTCCTTACTCCCTCCCCTGGCTGCCTCTCCTCGCTCTCTTCTCTATACTCTCAAACATTTTTTTTTTTAAATGGCCGTGCATTTAGAGTGTTCGGGTTTCACTTGAAGAAAAGGTGGCAACCCTAGTCAAGTGTCACACCTACTGTATATGAGCTTCTGTACTTACAGGAACCTTGCGTTGCTACCTGTTAGAAGACACTTTTAGTTTATGTGCTTCATTTTTATAGCAGTTTTAACTGAATAGGATGAAATTTAATTAAGCAAATTCAACACTTCTCACCTCTCACACACGGACAAGATCCAGGAGGAGACGACCCACAGGCTGATGGTCAACGTGAGCAGAACTCGGCCTGGACAGGTGTTCATGAGGATCTTTATGACAAACGGATACTGAAATTTGATTTTATTGAGGGACCCTATACTCCGATAAGAGGCGTCTACCAGCACCTTGCTGTGGAGCAGTACAGTCCTAGGTAATAGGTAGACCCGTAAGAACATCAAGATGGACAAGAAAATATCCAGGTTGCTGAGAAAGATCATAGGCTCCTTGAGAGAGTTTGACCCTCCCTGTCCTTGGCAATGCTGTTCATAGGGGAACGGATGGATGGCACAAACGGCGATTTCCACTAAAATCCAGACAGATTTCTTGGCATTGACAGCAATCCGCCAGTCCACCAGAGAGTTGTCGTTCATGAAGACCTGTGAGATGTACAAATCAATGACATTATTATTATTATCCTACATGGCTTTAACATAATTATATGCTTGCTTTTCTATATTGTTGTTATTGTTTTTTATGTATAGAAATTTGTAGGTTAGCCATGGAGGTCTCTGTGGCTTAGTATGACCAATGACTTGCTGCTTAACAACTTTTGAGATAAGATATCTGCCACACAGGGAGTGTATTGATTTTTATAAGTTATCTAGTTCACAGATTTGAATTCTGAAGAGGTGCAGTAAAGCACAACCACTGCAGAACCAGAGTATGTAATAAGCAAATATGGCTGCCTTGTGTACACATGTAACTCCAAACTATACAAAGATACAACTGCTGTTAAGATACAACATGTAACAGACACATTTATAAAGTGATCTATATCAATCTAATCCAGTGGCGTAACTATAGCCATAGCAGGTGCCCAGGTGGCTGCAATGGGGCCTGAGGATGGGAGGGGGCCCCATTAGGTTGCAAGTGTAGGGCTGGTTATGGTTGCAGTTGATGACAACTCTAATCCCTGCAAAGTCTATAGTGTAAATATGACTTCAGGTGCACAAGAGGAGTCTTTGGGATCTCGGCATCATTACTTACAGCTTAGAGAAAAGTCATTGGGGCCCTCCCCCATCACATTTTTTCTATGGGGCCACGTGATCTGTAGTTACGGCTCTGATCTAATCTCTTTTATATGATTTGCCAAAAATATATACAGGTGAAACTCGAATAATTAGAATATCGTGCAAAGTTCATTTATTTCACTAATGCAACTTAAAAGGTGAAACTAATATATGAGATAGACTCATTACATGCAAAGCAAGATCATTCAAGCTGTGATTTGTCATAATTGTGATGATTATGGCTTACAGCTCATGAAAACCCCAAGAACCCCAAATCCACAATCTCAGAAAATGAGAATATTACATGCAATCAATAAAACAAGGATTGTATATAGAACAATATCGGACCTCTGAAAAGTACAAGCATGCATATGTACTCAGTACTTGGTTTGGTCCCCTCTTGCAGCAATTACTGCCATTACTTTTGCACAATATTCTAATTATTCGAGTTTCACCTGTAAATGGCTAGACTTTCTTTTTAAAGCAAACCTGTCATACATTTTAAACTTTAAAGTATATTGCTATTAAAGGAGAACTATGAGGTGAGTGCTTTTCACTCACCTCATAGTTCTAGCCGACCTGTGAGAATGAGACTGTCATTCTCAGGTCGGCTCAGTAGATCGGGAGGTTAGCAAACACATACCGGCGTTCGCTCACTTCTCGAGAGAGCCGTGACAGGGGAGGGGCTGGATTCCCCGCTCCGATCCTCCAGCGCTGACTTGGCGGAACGGACGAGGGAGGGTGCGGGTACAGCTGGCTCTGCCTCTAGATAGGCAGAGCCGGCTGTCACTCACGCAGCAGGGCGGATCCAGACATAATTGTCGGGATCCGCTTCAGCTGCGGCGTCTCATCTTGGGGTGACGGGAGGACGCTAGTTTGTGTCCTCCCGTTACCCTAAGGAGAACTATGGGGAAAAGCCCTAACCCCATAGTTCTCCTTTATACAGCCAACTCATTTCAGGGGTTCAAAGGTTCCCTCTTCCACAGGGATACAAAATAAATGCAAAATTGGTACAAAAATGGATGTAGAAGAACAGCCAATTATGTTATACATTGTATCACATTGTGTATTGATTATGCGTATGATAATTAGCTTGAGGCAGATAAGTGAAATCTATTTCTTATATTAGGTTTTACATCCTGGTCATACATTACAAGAATAACCCAAAAAGGGACACCAAATAAATGGACTTTTTTGGTACACAAGAAGAGGTTTTCTTGGATGACAAAATGTCCAATTATTTGAAGTTCCCTTTTGGGTTCTTTTTGTAATTTACTGTTTGTAACATAATTGGATCAGTGTAGGATTTTGCATTTCTACAACCAATTATGTTCTATTTGGGTTCTATCCCTTCCCCGCTCCATCCAAAACTAAACAGATTATTCTTCTTACAGGCTCTTTCACCCCTGAGGCTCGCAGCCTTTTAGAATATACTTAATCAGATTTAGCTAGAGCAAGGAAGATATGGCATTGCCCTATCAAAGCACACACTACAAGCCCATAGGTGCGGCTGCCTGCACCATCCCAGCAACCACTAAATACAATATGTTTATACTACAAGCTGTTTATACCATGCGCCCATCCTCAATAATGCAATACAGACGGCATAAGCTGAACACAGACTGAGTGACGCATCCGTGAAAAGTAATCCTCCTGCCAAAATACCTTTCTGTGCCTCAGGATCGGGTGGAATGAGTAAAAAGCAACAGTAGGGTTTGAGTCACAGGGAAGGACTTCCGTTATTTGGAGCTAATGTGGAAAGGATTCCTATGACAGATCATGGTGGCCTTTAGAAATGTCTGCTGTATTTGTATCAGAATAATGCACAGTGTAATAGCATGCTCCAATCAAAGAGGAAATTTCACCCGATGCTCATAGGTTACACTCAATGGGCTTTTTTTTCAACTATGATTTCATATCCGCATTTGGCTATCTGTATAAAAAATTATATTTAGCAAATAGTTTATTATATGGTGCATCCATGATGCTAGGTTTACAAAGCACGCCGTGCATAGCACAGCACAGGCTATATGTCGATATATTAAACCAAATCTTGCATTTTTTCCCATTTAGGACCATTCTTAGCAGTGTATACCTTTCTTCGTTCCCTGACAAGCCAGGTTCTTCCTTATAAGATGGTTCACATTCTGGACCCTCTCAGCCCCTCTGGCTGAGAGTCCTGAGTGCCAAAGGAAACATACTACACCATGGCATTGCCATGCACTGCCACTATATACAGTATATACTGTATATCCATATACACACATAGTATATATCAGGGCTCAAAATTTCAAGTCCTGAGCTACTAGCCAGGCCTTAAGAGTTACTCGCCACCAGTCGCCCCACCTGACCCCTACCGTGCCCCGCCCTTAACTCCGCCAGGTCAGTGGTGTGACACAGAGAACAGAGATCAGTAACAATGCAGAGTGCAGAGGCCAGTCGGGTGATGCAGAGTACAGAGGCCAGCAGTGTAATGCAGAAAAAAGCAATGTATCCTCCATGTCCCAGGTGTCCTGCTTCTCCCGTGCTGTCCTTCCAGCCAGTAGCAGCTCTGCAGTCTTCCTCCCAGCCTATGGCAGCTGAGGTGGGCGGAGGAAGCTGCAGGATCCGGTGTTCTATCGAAAGCTCCAACTCATTGAGATCTCTAACTACCTCTGGTGCTCAGAAACACTGGAGCTCTGTGCAGTGAGCTTTCGATAGAACACCAGAGTGAGGACAGCTACAGTGCGGCACTGATTCTACTCCTTCAACAGCAGCGATCGCCGTGTCAGTTCTCTCTTCTCATCAGCCGCTGCCGCTATAGAGCGGCCGAGGAGCAGCGGTGTATTTAGGTTTCGTGCTGCCCTAGGCAAGACGAAACTTGGCACCCACCCCCAAAATCTAAATTTGTTCCACCTCTTCCTGTTCAAGACATTTTGCATAACCTGTCAAGTCACTGGATACAGCTTCTGACAGATTGCGCTATTAGGCATCATTCACACTGCTTAAAGTCGGCCCGTACAGATCCGTGGGACGTGCACGGACGTATCGGGCCGTTCCCGGGAAGGACAGGCTGCTGCGTGTGATTTGTACGCAGCAGCCTGTTCTTCTCTATGGGAGGATGCGGCCGTACGCTCAACTGAACTGCACATTTGCACGGGTGCGGATGTCCATACTAATACGCAGACAGGATGGATCCTATCTGCATCCGAGCACGGACACCTGCACCCGGACGGATGTGTATGGGCCAACTCTAAGCAGTGTGAATGAGGCCTTAGTGTTGCAGGGAAGGCGGGGTCTCAGATGGGCTGTAAAGGATCTCTGGTGGGCTCTGCAGGGTGCCAGGCTGAGACCACCATAGACCCTGCACATTCCAACATAGATCTTGCACTGCCCACC